GAAAGCATTGAAGTGGATTCTAAGGTACATAAATGGGTTTGAACATGGTCCTAACTTATGGTAGAGCCTTGGGTGAAGATAGTAAAGTAGCAATCGAATGATATGTCGACTCAGATTATGCAGGTTGTATGGATTCTAGAAAATCTATTTTTGGATATGTGTTCACTATGTTTGGCACATTAATTAGTTGGAAAGCAACACTTCAGAAATTTGTTGCCTTATCAACCACTGAAACAAAATATATCGCCCTAACTGAAGTTGTGAAGGAAGCATTATGACTTGAAGGTTTTGCAAAGGAGCTGAAACTTCAAGGTCGAGTTGTCACTCTTAAATGTGATAGTCAGAGTGCCATACACATGTCAAAGTATTCAGCCTATCATGAGCGAACCAAGCACATTCATGTGAGACTGCATTTGTTTAGAGGGTTAATCGAGCGTGGAGAAGTCCAAGTGCTGAAGGTTTCGACCAATCATAATGTTGCTGATATGATCACCAAGGCGTTGCCCAGTTGCAATTTTTTCCACTGTATGCAGTTGATAAAGCTGCACGAAGAAAGCTAGTTTGTTTCTTGATGGTAGAGTTAGACCCAAGGGGGAGATTTTTGAGATATTGGATCGAACTCTAGTTATCATGTCGTCGAAGTTGGCTTACATGTTGTTGTCGAAACCTACATGTTGTAGCCGAATTATATTCTAGTATGTAATTGTCGAATTGGGCCTTGTGTTAAGGATCCAATTGTTTAAGTTAGTTTGTACCCTAAGTTAGCTTGTAATGGGTAATTGTTAAAAAAAACCATTAGTTTTGTATGTTAGGTTTTATTATAAATAGTATACTAGTCTCTCATCTTATGTGTGGTCTGACAAAACTTAATTAGGGTGAGAGGGTTATTTGTTATTCTTGAGTACTTGTAAGCTGTTTTATAGAAAAAGTAAAGAATATAAGTTATAACCAATCCTTTTTGTTCTCCTATTTTTCCTTAACCCTAACCCTTGTATGTTTTTTGACCATAAAGAAATCAAGTATATTTTGTTTTAAAGCATCCTAATTCACAACAAATTGGTGCGGTGAGCATGGAGAAGATTCCTTCAACAAAGTATGAGATTGAAAAGTTCACCGGAGTGAAAGACTTTGGTCTGTGGTGCTTGAAGATGAAAGCCCTACTGGTTCAGTAGGGCTGTTTGGAAGCGTTGGAGGGAGAGGCAACCATGGACGCTGCATTAACGGGAAAAGAAAAGACGATCATGATAGAGAAAGCCCACAGTGCAATATTGTTGAGCCTTGGTGATAAGGTTCTTCAACAGGTATCAAAGGAGACTATGACATCGGGGTTATGGTTGAAACTTGAAAGTTTGTACATGACTAAATCTTTGGTGAATCGACTCTACCTAAAACAAGCTTTGTATTCATTCAAGATAAGTGAAGAAAAAGTGTTGGCCGAGCAATTGGATATGTTCAACAAGCTTATTCTTGATCTTGAGAATATTGATATGAAGATCAATGATGAAGATCAAGCACTATTGTTGATGTGTGCTTTGCCTTACACACATGCTCGCTTCAAAGAAACTCTCCTGTATGGAAGGGAATCCCTGAACTTTGAAGAAGTTTAATCAGCCTTGTATTCTAAGGACTTGAACGAACGAAAGGAGCATAAAACTTTGACGGTTGGTGAAGGTTTGGCCGTTAAGGGAAAATTCTTGATAAAGAATGGTAAGTTCGACAAGAAGAAAGGTAAAAGTCAGTAGAAGTATTATAGCGGTGAGGCATCTGGTATTCGATGCTATCACTGTAAGAAGGAGGGTCACACAAGAAAAGTGTGCTCTGAACGCCTAAAATATCATGGAGGTAAATATAATGGAAATGCATCCATTGTTCAAAATGAATTCAAATCATCTGATGTTCTTGTGGTTTTAAGTGGCGATTCAAGAAAGGAGTGGATTATGGATTCAGGTTGCACTTAGCACATGAATCCAAACAGAGAATTGTTCGAGGAGCTATATGATAAAGATGGTGGATCAGTGCTACTGGGAAACAACAATTCTTGCAAAATTGCAGGTATTGGATCAGTGAGATTCAAGCTCCATGATGAGTCAATAAGGTTATTGACTGAAGTCAGGCATGTTCCTGATTTGAAGAGAAATTTGATTTCTCTTGGTGAATTCGACAGGAAGGGATATGTTTTTCAAGGAGAGAAAAGTATCCTAAGAGTCGTGAAGGGGTCGAAGGAAGTCTTGAGAGGCGTGAAGAAACAAGGCTTGTACACCCTTGAGGCTGAAGTTGTGAGTGGTTTGACAAATGTTGCATCCACGAAACCATTGTTGAAAACAGAGATTTGGCACATAAGATTGGGCCATGTCAGTGAAAGGGGTTAGGTCGAATTAGGGAAATAAAATCTGCTTGGAGGAGACAAAGTCGAAAAGCTAAAATTTTGTGAACCCTGTGTACTTGGAAAATCATGCAGAGTGAAGTTCAACAAAGGAAAACAAAGATCTCATGGATCCCTTCATTACATCCATGCTGATCTTTGGGGGCCTGCAAGGTGTCCATCACATTTAGGAGTAAGGTATTTTCTATCCATAGTTGATGATTATTCCAGGAAGTTATGGGTATTCATCCAGAAGACTAAGGATGCAACTTTTGAGAATTTCAAAGATTGGAAGACTCTGGTCGAAAATCAGACTGGCAAAAAAGTCAAGAGGTTGAGAACCAACAATGGCCTTGAATTTTGCAATGAGGCGTTCGATAGTTTTTGTGTTGCCTTAAGTATTGCATGGCACAAAACTACTGTAGGGACTCCACAACAAAATAGTTTGGCAGAAAGGTTTAATCGAACTATTTTGGAAAGAGTTAGACGCATGTTGACTAGTGTTGGGTTAAAGAAGGTGTTTAGGGCCGAGGTTGTTTCGAAGATAACATATATGATAAAAAGATGTCCTTAGACTGTGTTAGATATGAAGACACCTAAAGAATTTTGGTTGGGACATTCACCTAGTCTCGACAAACTGAGAGTATTTGGTTGTGTGGCCTATGCTCACATTAGGCAAGACAAGGTCAAATATAGAGCCCTAAAATGCATGTTCATTTGATACCCTGAAGGAGTCAAAGCTTATAGGTTATGGTGCCTAGAGCCAGGTCACAGAAGGTGTATCACCAGTCGAGATGTAGTTTTCAATGAAGTAGAGATGGCTTTCAAGAAAACTAATGATGCTAACAAAGAGTTGGAACAGAGAGAAATTCCTGTTGAGGTGGAGCATGTTGATGCTAAATTGCATACCCCAGATGAAGTCGAAGAAGAAGCAGAAGCTGCTGTCAAAGATGAGGAGACTGATAATGACTACCTGCTAGCAAGAGACAGGTCGAGAAGAGTTATTAAGCCACCTTAGATACTTGGCTATGCAGATCTCATAGCTTATGCCTTAATCTCTGCAAATGAGGTTCTCAACAAAGAACCTAAAGACTATAAGGAAGTTATGAGGAGTCAAAAGAAGACTAAATGGTTGAAGGCCGTGGATGAATAGATGAAATCTCTTTATGATAAAAACACCTGGGAACTAATCAAGAAACCTTCTGGAAGCAACTTAGTCAGCTGTAAATGGATTTTCAAAGTTAAGGAAGGAATCGAAGGAGTGGCGTCGAAAAGATACAAGGCAAGATTGGTCACTAGGGGGTTAAATCAGAAAGAAGGTGTCGACTTTAATGATGTGTTCTCTCCTGTTGTGAAGCACATATACATTTGAATGTTGCTTGCCACAGTGGCACAGTTCGACCTTGAACTGGAACACATGGATGTGAAGATTGTGTTCTTGTATGGTGATCTAGATGATATAATTCTGATGCGGAAACCCGAAGGGTATGTCGAAAAGGGGAAAGAAGGTTATGTGTGCAACCTAAACAGATCCTTATATGGACTGAAGGTTATGTGTGCAACCTAAACAAGTTCATGGCACACATAAGTTTCATTAGAAGTCAGTTCGACCACTATGTTTACTTCAGATTTCGACCTGGTAATTCATTTGTTATTTTGTTGCTTTATGTGGATGATATTCTAATAGCAAGCAACAATGTAGAAGATGTAATGAGGATGAAGGGTGAACTCAATAAGGAGTTCAACACTAAGGGTCTAGGAGCTGCGTCCAGGATTCTTGGGATTGACATCCAAAGAGATAGAAAGCAGTCAGAATTATGCTTATCTCAAGAGGCATACCTACGAAAGATTCTCGAAAAGTATGGTATGTCAAATTTAAAGCCTGTTGTGACACCGAAAAACCCCAAATTCAAGTTGAGTATAGATCAGTGTCTCAACACTGATGTCGAAAGAGCTTATATGAATAGCATTCCATATGATAATATAATGGGTTCTTTGATGTATGATATGGTTTGTACTAGACCCGACATAACATATGCATTAAGTCTTGTAAGTAGGTACATGGAGAATCCTGAAAAGGCTCACTAGCAAGCATTAAAGTGGATTCCAAGGTACGTAGAATCTAGGAATATGAAGGAGGGCAGTGAAACCTATTTACGTAGCGACAATTCTAATAAGAAAGTAGAAACAATTATTTTTAAAGTTAGTAAAAATCATGGATAGATTATTGTATAAATCAATGGTCCAAATACATTACTGTATTTCTTGAAATCAACTTGACCATTACTGTCCTGTATTGTGACAGTATTGGGTGGCCAGCTTGAGTTACAAGCATCCATTATAACAGTTCCTTGTATTCTAAGAAATGTATTATTTAAAGGGATATAGATTTGGAAGTGAATCTTGTGGGATGACTCAACCAAGATCTTGGTTGTTGTAAGAAAGACACTACTGTCATGGCAACTTGAAGTACTTTTATTCAAGATAACATTTTGACATCATGCTGTGTTTAGTTGCCTTTTGAAAAAGATGTTACAAAAACATCCCAATAAGCTTTTTCAAAAGTTCTTAAAAGAAATCATCGAATGGATTTTTGATTGTTTTTTGTTGCCGGCCTGAGGCCAGAATTCAGTTTCCAATGCAAGTTTTTTTGTTGTTGTATAGGCACAGATGGACGGGTAGATTTGAAGCGAATCTATGGGATCACAATAGTAAGCTAGAGGGTCGTGTCAGGAAAGGGCGTCAAGGTTCTTTTCTCTATCTCTCTTGTTTTACTTTGAACTTCTTTACTGATTATTTTGATTTGAACATGAAATACTAGGGACACTAAGCTGAATTTCTTGTTTTTTCTTTGACATGGAATGACTCGGTGCAATTCTTGGCTCCTGTCACAGTGTATTTGGGTGAGAAATGTTTCTACTAAATTCCTTAAAGCGTGATATGGTTAGTTAGTACATGCTAAACTAATGGTTATGATTTTCCATAGGTGGCTATGACAGTGAAGAAAATGCAGCAAGGGCTTATGATTTGGCAGCATTGAAGTACTGGGGACAAACAACTACCACAAACTTTCCTGTAACAATCACTTTTATTATTCAGTTTAGATCTATTTTCGGCATATAATAACTGAAGTGCAACTAGAGTTGGTCTGAAATTTGTATAATTCTACTTATAGTCTTTTATTTATTACAGTAACAATTACAAAATACATGCGCACATTTAATGGTTTAGATCTTGTACAATTAAGAAGTAGCAAAGGGAATTTATGATTTTGAACATTCCTATATTGAAACTTGCATCACTTAGCATATTTGTGTTCTCTAATATCTCAGGTTTCCGATTATGCAAAGGAAATAGAGGAGATGAAACATGAAGGAAAGCGAGAATATATTACTTCTCTGAGAAGGTTTGTATAAGCTAACCCACTAATTATTTAACACTATAATTAAGTTCCTTGCCTAAAACTGTACCTTCTCTTTGCTTGCAGGAAAAACAATGGTTTTTCTAGGGGGACTTCAAAATATAGAGGTGTTACAAGGTTTGAAATTTGAAACCCCCATATACTATCAAGTGATTATCATTCTCTTGTATCTCTAATGTTTTTTTAGTTTGGATCCTTCAGACACCGCCAAAGTGGTAAATGGCAAGCAAGAATTGGTCGAGTGGCTGAAAACAAAGATTGATATTTGGGAACATTTGGTAAGCTTTTTCATCTTCTGATATTAATAATTTTCTATTTTATACAATATAATTGGATTTAGAGAAATGTATGATACTCCAGAATAACACTATTAGCTTATTCTGCTGATATTTTAACCAATCTCATAGATTTTTATCCATATATGTTTTGAGATGCCTTTAATTCACACACTCAGGACATTAGTAATTCTGAATCAACATTATCACACCGTATTTGAAGTTCAATATTCTGAATTTAACGTTGAATATTCTTGATTCTTGTATGTTTATAGAAACCGAAGAAGACGAAGCTGCAGAGGCCTACGACATTGCAGCCCTAAAGTACAAAGGTGCAAATGCTATAACCAATTTTGATTCAAGTATATACGATATGGAATATATATCGAAGAATCCTATTCCAATTGGTCGAGCATCAAAACGCTTGAAACCTTCCCAAGAATCAGAAAAGAAAGCTCCTAGGAGCAGGACTGTTCAGCCTCCTTGTACAAACATGAGGAAGTTTTACTTTTGGAAGAGCGTGTTGGTGAAGCCAAAAGATTAGTAGCAACTAGAAGACTACAAAACTGATTATGAAGGGCTCATTATGAAGGGCTCGTGATGATACTAGAAGACCACAAGTGATTTTCTTTATTGGTGCTAACTGGAAGTAACTTTTAAGCTTTTGTAGATGTTCATGTCTATCCTCTAAGGAAAAGTCATACCAAATAATTCTTCAGCCATCGGTAGAAAATCTTGGATCATCATTTGGTGTGGAAAATTGGGCAGAATATCTTGGATCATCATAGGTTGTACAGTTATATTGATTATATTGTATAAAATCAAGTTATAGATTATGACATTTGATCATTTAGATATTCATAAGTATATATTTAGTAGAAAATATAATACTTTAAGTTATAATGAAATATCAATTGTTTTTTAAGTTATATAAATTTATATATTTGTTATATGAGTCTTTATATATTTGATATACGTGAGTCTTTATATATTTGATAAATTACCAAAAGACAATAATAGTTTAAATTAAAAAAACTATTATAAAAAAATGAGATGAAAGTAATTTAAATAAAAATAGAATATTATAAAAAAAATTCTATAGATAAAATTACGACGGTTTAAACCGCCGTAACTAGTATAAATAATATTTAGAATTAGTAAATATAATTACGACGGTATGGAGATTACAACACTTAGCTACCCGTCGTGAAAATAAATAATACTTAAAATTAGTAAATATAATTACGACGGTTGAAAACTGTCACAATATGGAGATTACGACAGTTAGCTACTCGTCGTGAAAATAATGACGGTTTGTACGACAGTTTTCACAACCGTCGCAATACAGCCTCGCGACGCACGTTTCCGCGACGGGGTTGAAACCGTCGTAACTTACAAATTGCAACGGTTAAAACCGTCATAATATGTCAAAATGAACCGTCGCAATGTGCCAATTTTCTTGTAGTGTATGGTGATCTAGATGATATAATTCTGATGCGGAAACCCGAAGGGTATGTCGAAAAGGGGAAAGAAGGTTATGTGTGCAACCTAAACAGATCCTTATATGGACTGAAGGTTATGTGTGCAACCTAAACAAGTTCATGGCACACATAAGTTTCATTAGAAGACAGTTCGACAACTATGTTTACTTCAGATTTCGACCTGGTAATTCATTTGTTATTTTGTTGCTTTATGTGGATGATATTCTAATAGCAAGCAACAATGTAGAAGATGTAATGAGGATGAAGGGTGAACTCAATAAGGAGTTCGACATGAAGGGTCTAGGAGCTGCGTCCAGGATTCTTGGGATTGACATCCAAAGAGATAGAAAGCAGTCAGAATTATGCTTATCTCAATAGGCATACCTACGAAAGATTCTCGAAAAGTATGGTATGTCAAATTTAAAGCCTGTTGTGACACCGAAAAACCCCAAATTCAAGTTGAGTATAGATCAGTGTCCCAGTACTAATGTCGAAAGAGCTTATATGAATAGCATTCCATATGATAATATAATGGGTTCTTTGATGTATGATATGGTCTGTACTAGAACCGACATAACATATGCATTAAGCCTTGTAAGTAGGTACATGGAGAATCCTGAAAAGGCTCACTAGCAAGCATTAAAGTGGATTCCAAGGTACGTAAATGGGTCTCTAATCCGCTGTCGCGCACAGATCAAAAATGAGTATTTTTGAAAAAGTATAGTAACAGTAACGACAACTTGAGTATCGTTCTCAAGGATTCTTGTAGTGGATTAACCGATTACTGTAACGAAATATGGGGGGTTTGGTTTTCATTTAGAAAAAGTGATTAAAAAATAAGTGATTCTAAGATAAGTTAATCTGTTATTTGTTTTCCTACTTATCATTGATCATACAATTCCCAAGCCTTAAACAGATTCCATTACCTTTCGATTATAGTAACAATTAACAACCTTGACTTAAATTAAAATATGATTTATGTTCCTAAATCCCAATTAAGAAAATAGATAACGCAAACACGAATTTAGCAAACGCGGTTACGGTTAACAGAACATGTATCACTCGAATTAATCCAATCCTATTCTATAAAATATGCAATTAGATTAAGCAAACAATGACAACTAAATAAAGCATTCAAAATTATATATAGAATTGAAAAGGGAATCAAAATTACTTGAAAATTGTATTAACCTCAAAGTTAACGAAGATACGGTTACAGCAGATCAACCCAAAGAAGTTAGTTCTCCATAAGATACGTACAAAGCAAAAAGCGAAAATTTCAACAGTGAAAAGAATGTCATAAACAGTAGCACGGCTACTACTAGGTATAAGTAAGCATCACAAAATCCAGTTCTAACCCAACTTGGTTGAAAAACATAAAAAAATCCGACCCAAAAACTAAATATTCCTACAGGCAGAATTCGAGTCATGACTTCAACGAATTATTCGATCCTACTAGACTTTGGATAAGCTTCTTTGTACAACATCAAAGTTGTAGCTCCTTGTCTCAAATTTCCAATGCCTAGTAGAACGCTTAAATCTGATTCTCGTAGCTCCAATTATGATCTGAACAGTAGACATGTATCAAATAACTGCTAAAGCTGGAAAAATAGATTAACGGCAAACAAAGACTTAATTATAAAAACATAATAAAACAGTAAAATAAACAAAACAAACAAAACAAACTTAGGAAATGCCTAAGTACAAATATATGAGAATGTGCATTAAAATGCACAGATCAAATTCCCCCACACTTGAACTTTTTCACTCCGGGCAAAATAGTATCAAGACTCATGAAAAACAATAGCATCCAGATACTCTTTCTAGGCTTCAAACTTTTCTTTGGTCAAGATTTCATCGATAGGTACTAATTTTTCACACTAAGGATATCGTAAGAACACAAATCCGCAATTGTGCGGTCATAAACCTCCCTCCTATACAAACCAATTCAAATCATGTTATTATGCCTAAGCCTAACTTACTCATCCTCCTTTTTGCTCTTTTTCATTCTAATGCAATCACATTAATCCCGTTATCTATTCACGCACATGGTAAATAAGTTTGTTATTGACTATGATCCATATCTTGTCAACAATTCAAAATTAACCACTTTACTACAAATACATTTTTTTTAAGGTTTCACATTAGATTTCTTATTAAGTACATGATCATTCACTTATTTGCATTAGCTTAATTACTTAGTGTGTGATTTTAGTATGGTGTTGACCTATAGATAAACTACTTAAGAGCTATTAAAGGATGAGAACTCAAGGCTAGGTCATAAAAAGTATTTAAATTGGCTTCAATATTCGAGAGACTTGAGGTGTTAAAACGGTACCGATCTTATGAATTTTTCTCAAGTCTCCATAATCTAACCTCAAATTAATCTATATCATAAAATTTTCAAAAGATGCATTGTGTTTCTAAGTAAATTTGTTTTTTAATTTTCGGTTCACTTAAAAAAAAGAGAACAAAACAAAGAAAACTGAAAGAAAACAAAACAAAGAAATGGTTCCCACCCCCACACTGAAAACATACATTGTCCTCAATGAAAGAACAAAAATATAAAATAAGATTGAGCAGAGATAGGAAAGGATACACCCGAAGAGTCAAGGTGGCCAGATGATCGCGTAAACAACCTTTCCTAAAGAGAGCTCTTCTTCAAAGTAGGGCTCTCATAGAGTAGCTTTGGGCAGTTACCATTGTTTTTGAAATTTTTAGTAATGCCTTCTTCTTTTATTCCAGGATCAAATAAGGTCCTTCGATAAGTAAAAGTGTCGAATGGAAACGTGAACGTGATCTCATTTTTCACAATGTCAAGAATCAAAGGATTAAGGGGTTGTCTCACTAATTTTTTTCCATCTTCAAGTAAGACCCTATGCATACTCATTCATGGATGGGCTATTACTAGGAATGTCAGTCAAGGTCATCCAATTGCCTTCTTATGTTTCTTTAATACTTGCAACACTTTTTGTTCCTGTTCAGATTCAAATTTAGACAAAATTATTATAGGCAAAGTTTTTTCCAATTCTAAAAGTGCATTTTTAAAATTCGAAGGACGTGACTTAAGCTCTAAAGTAGATGGTTACTAAATGGATGACAAAATTTTGGAAGAAAGAACTACATTTAAATTCGCAACATCAATTTTGTCAGTAGAAATCTCATTAGAAATATCAACCTGTAACAGTATCAATTTCAGCACAAACTGAACATAAGTGAGTGTCAGTACAAACATCACAAGTATAATTGTCATCAAAACCAGACAAAGTAGGGAAATCGGCAAAAAGTGAATCAGGTGGAATAAGTTCTCTTAAGGTTCTTTTTTCACTCATCTTATGGTAATGAAACTTAAAATCAGAATCAAGCAAATTATAAGAGAACAAGAATCAGCAATGTAACAACAAATAGGAAAATATCAGCAATGTCCATAAACAACAAAATAGATGGAAAATAAAAAATTTAATATAATTAATCAAAATAAGAATTTTGGGAATTGTTTTCGAATT